CTGATGGGATCATGATAAAGTTACAGTGATAACATTTGAGTTGGCACTTTTATAACAGAGGACAAAAGTTACTGTTACACTTGTTTAACAAATGCTTGCTACAAATTTACCTTCAAGAACGTTGCTCAACAAATTGACACCTCACATGTCACTGCAGTATCAGCACTGAAAGCAGACACAGGCTTGTTCTGCTGCTTTGAGTAAGGGGTGAGTTGGGCAATGCAGAGCTCAGGAACTCCTGTAGAGGGTGAGCAGTGAAATCATTGCATAAAGCAGAAGTCTGAATTTTGTCCTTGATTCTCTTCTTTTTATTTTTTCTTTCCTTCCTGAACCTCCAGGTCAAGGAGGAGCAAGTTGTCTGCACGTAAAATTGGCCTGCAGAAGCTGTGGGAATGGTGCATTGGGATTGTGCAGATGACATCCCTGCCTTGGAGAGTTGTCATTGGGCGGCTTGGCCGCCTGGGCCACGGGGAGCTAAAAGGTATGAGATGTCAGTGCTGTCCCCACGGGTGGCTTTGGAATGAAGACAGGGCCTTGGTATGCCAGGCAGGGACTTACAGAAGTGAGGATGAACCTTTAAAACCAGGAAACTGAGAGTGAGAAACTGGCCTGGCTCTGCACTCTGGCACTGGTTTGCATCAACAATTTGCACTGGGTTTGATGTTACTCCCTCGTGTCTTGTAGCTGTTGTGTAGATTAACGAGTGTTTGCACAGTGTATTTCTGTGTGGAAGTCATGGGTTTTGTCACAAATTAGAAAAAGATCTGAATAGGCCTTATTCTAAACTTAAGCTAAACAAACAAGTCTTGCCAAAAAAGTTACTGAACAACAAAAAAAAGTAAATTACTTTTTTCTGTGGTGTACAAAACTAACTGAAGGTCAGTGTGAAGCAGCACTGAGGTACTCTCTGCAGCCTGCAGAGTTCTCCAGATTTAGCATTCCTAACAGTGCCATGGGATTTCAGAGGGAGCTCTGGAGTGTTAGGTGCCTTAATCCAACACGGGTCAGGACTGCCTTGCTTGTTTTCAGCAGTCATTCCTGTCACCAGTGTCAGTACCTACATTCAGATCTTTTCTTCCTTTGCTGATGCTGTGGCCACTACTCAGGCTTTGTCTGGTAACTGATGAGACGAAAATGAGGTTCTGAGGGGGTCCTCTCAGCCTTCTCCCACCTCCTGAGTTGGAACATGAAGATAAAATAGACAAGAGGATAAAGATATTCCATGACTTTGTCCTTTTACATTAGTAACTGAAGGAGACATGAATTCCACTGGCTGGCTCGTTGTGAGAGATTCTGTGTGTCATGAGGTGGGGAAAAGAAACACAGAAAACAGTACACAATAAATAACAATTCAGTCTGAAAGCCCAGGGGAATACTCTGGGGGGAGTATTCCCAGGCAGGGAAGAAGAGTTGTTGCCTGTCTCAGTAGGGGAATTTAGTATCCATCACACACACAGGTGCTAAATCTGGAAAGAAAACAGATGAGGAATTTACTCAGCAGCTTCTGCTTTTTAGACATGCAATGCCATTTAAATGGTTAATGTAGTTTATCAAATGTGTATGTGCACCTCCACTGAAATGTGCTTGATTTACTTCACAACAAATTGAAGATGTTTCCTCTGGTGTTGGCTGTGTGACTCCTGTCTGACGTGCTGCAGCTGTGCAGCCTGCAGAGCCACAGGCCCCGCCCACACAGGCAGTTCACAATAGTGCAGCAGTAAAAGAAATGCCAAATCTTACTGATATGTTGCTATTTTCAAGCATGTCCCTGACCATTTCAACACCCCATGGTTCTACTGTGACGTTTCTCCATTTCAGACTGGAGTATCCTCCTTGGGGAATGTTCCCTGCAGACAATCAGCAAGCAGCTGAAGGAGGTGTGCCGCATGTGTGGCATCTCCTCGGCTGACTCCCCATCCATCCTCAGTGCCTGCCTGGTTGCCATGGAGCCACAGGGGTCCTTTGTTGTGATGCCAGGTACATTTGATCCAACTATTTAAATGCAATTGAAGCTTTTCTTCTTTTACTTATCCTGCTTACCACATGACACATGAATTTTGGGAGAACTTGAGACCAACGGGAAGACCTTGACTAGCAGGGCTAAAGGTAGTAGGAAGAAATGGGCTGATTCAGTGGAATCCCCCAAAATACCATGAGGAGATGCTACACTGGGAGTGTGGGCTCCTAGGGGGACTTTGCCCTGAGGAGATGATGTTTTCAGGTAGAGCAGTTCTCATCAGCTGAAATGTGATGCAGGAGGACTGTAGACACTGCAATACTGTGAAAGAGCAGGAGTCTGTATGTGGGAGTGAGGATAAACCTACTTGCCTTTTCATATGCTCCAGTTAGCCTGGAGAGTTCTATAATAAGCAGCAGTCCCGAGTTCATCTGAAATTAAATGAAATTTTGAGATTCACTTCACTTATTTTTTGTATTACGTAGGGATATATTTTGCCATGTACATGTGAAATACCCTTACGAAGGTCTCTTTTTTTAGTTGAGAAATAAAGATTGCTACATGGAACAGAATTAAACAAGCTTGAAAATTACTCATAAAACTGAGTAATTTCAAAGCCGAGTTTTTATAACGTGAGAAAGTAGATGGCAAGTTGATGCTTTTTTCATGTCAGCCAAAGCAGGGTATAGTGCATAATTACACAGAGGGCAAAAATAAATTTAACTGGCTCATTTAAAAATTAAATCTTTGATTAAGGGGCAGCAGAATGAGAGGAAAGGTGGGGCGTTGTATGGGAATTCACATAGCTAAACATTATCTACAACTTGTGATCTTAATTTCAGGCTCTTCTAGTAATTTATTCTTTTTAAGATAAGGACTTTTAAACACTTGTATTAGCTTGCAAACCCAGATGAGAAATTAATTGAACACAGAACATACATTTGGAAGATGATGCAAATTAATGTCTCTGCTGTTACTCTCTTCTGGAAGATGCTGTCACCATGGGGTCAGTGTTTGGCCGGAGCACTGCACTGAACCTGCAGTCATCACAGCTGAACACCCCTCAGGATGCCTCCTGTACACACATCCTGGTTTTCCCAACTTCTGCTACTATCCAGGTGGCACCAGCAAATTACCCCAATGAGGATGGATTCAGCCCTACTAATGGTGAGTAGGGAGGCGTCCAGTGTGTGGGATGCCTTGTGAATGCTTGGTGGCCTGTCCAGAACATCAGGAGAGCTGAAGTGCTCATGAGTGACAACAGTGGAGAAATGTTCTCCCATAGCCCCAACACCACCCTGATTTAGTGTAAAGAGTACAGCACCACACTTTCTGCTTACAGGATAATAACGTGTTCTTCTAAAGTCTGTTTTTAGATAATCATACTGATGTATTCCAGAAGTGATACTTACCAATCAATAGGTGAAATGCCACAGACGTTAAAGTGCTTTTTCTTATTGTGACTTGATTAGGCCAGCTTAGTGTTTGCATAGTGGTTTGCTTTGTGCCTGTTGTGTACAAAGCTTGTGAGGAAGCGGGTTGTTGGTTTAGAATCTTAATCCTCCTGTAAAGCAAAACAGACCAACTTGAGAATTCATAATGTTGGCAGCGTGCTTTTCCAAGCATATTTAACACTACAGTTTGTGTCAGCAAGACTCTGATTTACATTTTGTATCAAATAAGTATTTTCCTGCTCTGCCCTAAGTCCTTAAAAAATGATTGTAAAATAATTTCAACCAAGAGTAACTGCAAACATTTACAATAGAAGTGTTTGGTGAAAAGAGAGGAAGAAAGGGGCACTATTGTTAATGAAAGAGTCTGCTTTGATCTGTTCCTCCTGGAATTCCCGCAGGCCTCCCCAAAGGGAAGTCACCTCTCTCACTAGTGAGGCAGCTGTCCTTTCAAGGCCCCAGCTCCTGACTGAAACCTGTGCTGACAAATGTTTAACCTGCATTAACCTGCCCTTTAGTGCTTCAGATGCTAATTAGAATCAGCTACAAGAACTGGTGTTTTCCAAAATGGTGTTAAATTTAATTTTCTTAACTGTGTTCTACTTAATGATTAAACTGCTTCCTATGCTATTAGCCATCTCATTTATGCTTTGGAGGCTAAGCAGAGCATGACAGGAGTTCTGTTTTGTTTGCTGAGGTCGTAGGACAGAAGTTAATAAACTAAGTTAATTCATTGCTCTTGCAATCCAGTATTTCTCTTCAGAAGATGAAGAAAAACAACTACCTACCTGTTTCAACCCTAGGACTTCAGGTGAAGTTAGTTCCAGACATGCACATTCTTTTCTCTTTCCACGCAGGGTAAATTCTTCTTTTTCAAGATGATTTTTTTTTTTATATATATATATGTGTGTATATATATATATAATGTAGAAATGCAAGATTCCTGTGTAGGGCTCCACGTGTTTTAGTATAAATTTGGCTGCAATTCTAATTATTCCAGTTAATTCAGACAGCTCCCACTGTACCTTTCTGTCCCCTAAAATATACTTTAAATATCATTCTACTGTTTAAACATCTTTGCCTGCTAAGAAATCTGAATAAGGGAAAAAAAACCCTTACAAACCATCTTGTGATGGTTGTGAGTTTTTGCTCAGTGTTTATAATGTCTTAGCTTTCCATCCTGAAGTCACTGGTGGTGCCATAACCTGTGTTTCACATGAGTGCTTTGGAGGCTAAGCAGAGCATGACAGGAGTTCTGTTTTGTTTGCTGAGGTCGTAGGACAGAAGTTAATAAACTAAGTTAATTCATTGCTCTTGCAATCCAGTATTTCTCTTCAGAAGATGAAGAAAAACAACTACCTACCTGTTTCAACCCTAGGACTTCAGGTGAAGTTAGTTCCAGACATGCACATTCTTTTCTCTTTCCACGCAGGGTAAATTCTTCTTTTTCAAGATGATTTTTTTTTTTTATATATATATATGTGTGTATATATATATATAATGTAGAAATGCAAGATTCCTGTGTAGGGCTCCACGTGTTTTAGTATAAATTTGGCTGCAATTCTAATTATTCCAGTTAATTCAGACAGCTCCCACTGTACCTTTCTGTCCCCTAAAATATACTTTAAATATCATTCTACTGTTTAAACATCTTTGCCTGCTAAGAAATCTGAATAAGGGAAAAAAAACCCTTACAAACCATCTTGTGATGGTTGTGAGTTTTTGCTCAGTGTTTATAATGTCTTAGCTTTCCATCCTGAAGTCACTGGTGGTGCCATAACCTGTGTTTCACATGAGTGAGGGAATGTACTTCTCATTGAATGCAAACTCATTTTCACTAGATCTTCATGCCCTTCCCACATTAACATAATCCAAATTAAAATAGCTAATTTCTGAGATAAAGGTAAAATATTAAAAGCTGTGTTGCATGAAATCCTGGTGCAGGATTGGAACAGTCAGGAAGGTGAATTGCCTAGGAGTGTGGGGCAGGCCTTGCTGCCCTCCTGCTCCTGGGAGCGAGTTCCTGGGAGCTGCTTCCAGAACCTCTTGAGCAAACGTGCCAAGGAGCAGCACCTGCTGGGAGCAAGAGACTGAGCTTTGTTAAATGCATCTCAAGTATTTTGTTAATGGATTTCTGTGACCAACTGCAGAGAGGTGTCATTTTTTCTGTTACAAAGTTCAGTCTGGATTTTTATTAAGCCGGTATGACAGGATTCTTGCTCACTTTCTGACCAGTGTTAAACTCCATCACTCTCCCAGATGTCTGCCAGGTTTTCCTTTCAAGTCTGTGCGGTTGCATTCAAAGATACTAAGAAGGATTAAACAGTAAAGTGTTTATCTCTGCTTTCATCTGGCTTAAGAGTATGCAGGGAAAAAAAAGGAATTATAATAAATTAAAGGGAATGGTAATAAACTACAAAAATTTCTTGACAAAATTGAGTAAAGCATTTTGGAAATTGTTTTTCTCTCTTTTCCTTTTCAGATGACATGTTTGACCTCCCATTCCTTCTCTCTTTTCCTTTTCAGATGACATGTTTGACCTCCCATTCCCAGATGACATGGACAATGATATTAGAATTTTAATAACAGGGAATCTTCACTCTTCACCAAATTCCTCCCCAGTTCCTTCCCCTGGATCACCATCTGGCATTGGAGTGGGATCTCACTTCCAGCATAGTAGGGTAAGGCTGCTGCACTTCAGAGCATATGCTACTTAAAGCAAAAAGACCCAAGTCCTCCAACAAATTCTTTTTTTCCCCTGTAGATTCTCAAACATAATTAGGGCAACAGCAAGCAGAAATTCAAATTAAAACTGAAGGTGCTGGTTAAATCCTATTGTAGAAGATGCCTCTGCCTTGCCTCTTTGTATCTCTAAAGTTCGTTGTTAGTGTACAAGGTAATTGAGAGGAAGAGAGGAGGAGGAGGAGGTAGAAGCTTTATTTTTGTGTGGCAGAGCTGTATCTATTGACCCTGTATAAACTTCATCTCTACTCATCCATTTCTTTCTGGAATATCATCTGGAATGTCCCTAGCACAAAGTGACAGGTCTTGGAGAGAAAGGAAGCCCTGACACTTTTGTTCACACGCAATTCCAGGGGAGGCAAGAAGGGCAATAATTCTCCTCAGAATAAAACCCTCCCCACAGAAACTCTGCAGGTGCTGGATGTTTATGCAAATGTTGTTTTCTTAGGGAAAATTATCCCAGAGCACATAGTCTCTGCCAGTTATTTTTGTTTGAAGTGGCTTTTATAAAGTTACTTCCATCAGTGATTACTTAAAATGCAAATTATTTTTTGTAATTTGAGGGTTTTTTAAATCTGCTTTAGCATAATTTGAATCATGTTTGATGGGACTCTTTTATTCAGACATGTAATTGAGTAAGAGACTTACTTGTACTGTTAAAATGGCTTCCATCACATCGGTAGAAGTTTGGCATACCATCACTTTTTCTGGATAAGTTTTATTCTAGAAATAGTACATTTAAAGCAGTAGCGTATTACTTGTTTACTAAATAATGCAGTATTTTATTACAGAAACAGGCTAATTTGTATACAAGAAACAGATAACTCTGTGCATTTAGAAGTTCTGATTTAGTGGTCTGTAATACTTCATGAAAGTAGATCTGGATCTGTGACTATCACTGGTGGCTTTAAACAGTCTTACCAAAAGAAACTGTAAATCCGGTATGAAAAGAAATACAGGATAAATACTTGGAGGAGGTGATGTACAGCTAAGATATTTGTCCCTGAATGATGGCACCCATTCAGCCTCTGCTACAAAGCAGTGCAATTTTCTAATGTAAGATGTCTTAAGAAAAGAATTCTCACTCCCTGCAAATGATGAACTAAATAGTGTTAGTTTTACCCCCTAGAAGGAAAAAGCCCTGCCTGTATTTTCCTTGCAACCTCTGCCAAAAATGCCTCAGTGGTCAGCTTAATGCAGTCTGTGGGTGAAAAAACACTTCTGCATCAGCCACAAAAATGCTAGGCTTGTGTTCTGTGATCTCGGTACACAACCACCTCACCTGATCTTAACACTCCAGCCCACTTTTCAAAGACTCAGGGATTGCACATTAATGTCACTTGGTTATTTCACACTGGTATGTGGGCAAATTAAGAGTTTTAAATTCTTCTTCCAAACCCTCCAGCCATAAATCACAATGCATCACTCCTATTTAGTTCATTCAACAATCTGTGTTCTGTACCACTTTTAGAAAAGCCTTTACAAAACCTGTTCTCTGCAGAACTCCATCTGAGCGGCTTAAGAACAGCACTGAAAGGTTAATAACCAAAGAGCTCAAGGGACCTGGACAAGCCATTTCTAGATGAAGCTGTCATAGTAATTCAGTTTAACCATTAACAAGGGCCTAGTAATTGACATGTAATTTTTGGTTTTAAAAAAGCAACAGCGTGTGATCATTACCTTGTGGGTCGGGGAAGGTCGAGCCTTCGTCCATGTAGCCCATAATTGATTGCTGCAGTTCAGGAGTGCAGGTCCTGATTGCTCAGCAGCCAGTTTCCAGGGTTGCTGATGGGCTTCCTGAGTGCCCACAGCCAGGTGAGCTGCAGCCTTCTCCAAGCTTTATGGGCTGTTTAACTTCCTTTGATTCTTGGTCAAGATATTGCTGCTGGAGAAAGTCCTGCTTGAAGGACTAGCAGTGGAGGCTTTGTGATTAAGCTGGTTTCTGTGGAGTGGAATTCTTAAAATAATTTATTTTTTTAAACCTATTGACTTAAAAGATGTTTATGGACTCAATTAGCTGGGAGAGGTTTCAAGCTAAAATACTTGGCAGGCATCTTTTGGGTTTTTCCTCTAAGAAATAGAAGAAAAACAATAAAAGAGTGTTTCCAAAAAACTAAATGCATTTAAAACAGGAAGGTGCTCTAGAATGGAATGGCAGTCACCCTTTCTGAAACCTGAGAGACACCGTTGTAGGACTGGTGGTGCACTGGTGATGACTGGTATAGGTCAGGGTATGCACAGACATACACAGGCTGAGGTAACCAACTCACACTGAGTGTCTGTCCCACAGCCTCAGCTCTGGAAGGTCCATCTAGCTTTTCCTCTGCAGAAATAACATCACAAACATACATGCTGACAGGCAGTGACTCAAAGTCTGAAGAAATCAGTTTTACTATTAAGTAACTGATAGAAACTAAAAAGCAGCACAGCTGTTTCTTCTTCCCCACACTTCACCTCAGCTTGGTGGTACTAAACACAAACACAGAACAGCATCTTCTGTCCACGTGTCAATAGCAAGGAATAGCAGACATAGTTTGTTGGTTTTTTTTAGACTATGAATGTAACTAAAAGAGCAAACACAACCAAGCTTATAAAGATGCAGATATTCTCTCCCATATTTGTGTAATGCATCCTTCCACTAGCTGAAATCAGGAAGATATCCAGTGCAAACTGCTGGGTTTAGTATGCGTGGGAAATGCCTGTGAGGCTTCATGAACTTAAATTCAACAGTGCTCTGTGTTGTGTGTGCACAGGAGCTGTTCAGATTGCAGCCAGAGCCCAGCACCTCAGTTCCTCTGCAGCATCACATTCCACAGGCACTCAGTTCAGTTTAGGAGGTCAGCACTGCTGGGGAGTCTAACGTGGTTCTGGAATGTAAGCTTGGAGAACTGAACTACAGGGGAAAAAGGAAGGGATGAGACAGCTGACTAAGATTCATGAACGACTAAAGGATAGCTCATTAATAACAAGACAGAACTGGATTAAAGACTGAGTAATTAGTAAAAAAAAATAATGAGTGGGATGTAATGACATAAAACAACAAACCTGACTTTTTTAAACTCCTTTCAGAGCCAAGGGGAACGTCTCCTTTCCCGAGAAGCCCCTGAAGAACTGAAGCAGCAACCTCTTGCTCTTGGATACTTCGTATCGACTGCCAAAGCTGAGAATCTTCCGCAGTGGTTCTGGTCATCCTGTCCTCAGGCACAAAACCAGTGTCCCCTCTTCCTGAAGGTTGGTCTTGGGGACATTCACAGGGGAAAAAAAATTGTATTTGTAGTCTATGAATTTTCTTTGAAAATGTCAGCTTTGTGTGTTACCTCAGCTGTGACAGTACTGGAAACAGAAACACAACTTCAGGTTTGTATTCACTGGAGACAGCTGGCTATTAAAACTTAATCCTCTGTTCCTAAAGCCCTTACCTGAAAATGGGATTGTTTGGCAGCTTCTAAATACAGAATCAGCAAAGATGCATCTGGTATTGCAGGAGCATCCCTGTTTCCATGTTCAGTCAGCCTCAGACAGGAGTGACCTACCTCCCCTTCCAGACTTGCTTGTGCTTGTGAGATGAGCAGAATTGGCTCAACCATTAGAGATTCACTGGTCCCTGCAGTGTGTCATGCAGCTTATCTGAATGAATAAAAAAAAATAATTAAGGAGCTTGGGAAGAAGGTGAAAAATCAGCCTTGAACAGCATCACATAGCCTATGTAAGCAAACAACATACAGAATAATAAGGGTATTACTTCATCCATTCCCAGTTTAATTAAATACTAAGCATTCTTGCAAGTCTCTATATTCTCTCACCTGTGTTTATCAATTATCACAGTATTGTGTTCAGTATATCTTAATTCTTTTCTCATGCAAAAGAAACCATTTCAGGACTGATGTTAACCATGATCTGCAGTCAGCATGGCAGGCTCTACAGTCCATATAGCACTTGCACCACTGAAGTACTGAGCCTTGCTCCATCCCATACACCCTGCCCTCTTCATGGACAGATTTCCCTGAAGCATGTGATTTTCTTTAAACTGACAGAACGGAGAGCTCAAAAGAATATGAAAAACAAATCCCATGGTTTTGGAGTTAGAGATGAAATTTTATGTAAAACTTGAAACTACTTTTTTTGTGTGTGTGTGAATTAGTAATACAAAGGCTGTGTTTCAGTTCCAGCAGTAAAGCCCAGTCAGCAGAGCTCTAGGCAACCTCTTGAATTCCTTCTGTAAGCTTATGCTAGATTTGTACTAGAGAGAAGGAGTCCACCACCCTTCCCTGCACCACCACCCCCTGCCCAGCACAGTTGCTCTCTCAGATCTAGGCTGAATTAAATGTTTAATTTGACTTGGAACATACTTTCTGGTTTGGACAGCTTTTAATAAAAGCAAGGAGCTGTGTTCATGCAGGAACTTGCACACTGCTCCGTGAGCAGGGGGTGCTGTCTGCTTCGTGCTGCAATTAGGAAACTTGCACGGCATGTGAAGCACACAGAGTCAAGTCATCTTTCTGCTTTGGATCAAGTCTTTTTGAGCTAAAGCATTTCACCTCTAATGTGGGTGCCATAATTGGAGGAGGTATAAATGAGAGGTTTTGCCCCAGCAGGCTGTGTGGTGTATTAGGCTACCCACTTGAAAGGCTTACGTGGTTGCACATGATCAATATGAAATCCCTTTCCTACTCTTGTGTAAACTAATGCACAAGCCTTGCTCCAGAAGGAAGATGAGAGAGATGGAGAAAGTGTTCCAGCAGAGAGCAGGACAAAGGCTGCACTAAGTGTTGGACACCCCACTGCTGTGTGATGGGTGTTCTACGGGGAGGGTTTTAACAATCAGAAGGGTTGGTTACTGATATACCAAAAGAACGACAGACAACATCCCAAGTGTTTTACCTTGTCACTTCTTCCCTGATCAAAATTAGTAACAGAATTCAGCATTTGTTTTTCAGAGATAGTTGATCCCAGTCAAAAGATAAGTCAATGTGTTAAAAAAGTGGAATCGTTATGGAACTTGGAAATACACATGGTCACGGTGGGTTCAGCAAAGAATTGCCAGCTTTTCATGCTGTCCTGAGATAACGCAGAATGCATTTGCTCACTGTGAATCTTTAGAAGTACTTGCTACATGAAGAGTTATTTTGTGCTTTTCTCCTTTCCACAGGCCTCATTACATCACCATATCTCTGTAGCGCAGACCGATGAGCTGCTACCTGCCAGAAATTCTCAGCGAGTCCCTCACCCCCTAGACTCTAAAACTACATCAGATGTCTTGAGGTAATGCCTCTTAGGTTTTGCATTTCCTCCCTAAGGCTGTGGGAACAGAGCTCTGAAGCTTTAGAGGGACCGTTCCTCTTCAGTGTGGCACAAGGATTTCTTAGCTTTATCAACAGTCTGTAACTCTGTGCCTGCACAGGTGGCTCAGAGCAGTGTCCAGCTCTTAGCACAGCTGCTGCCTCCACCACCCAAGACAGGACTGGGAGGGTCACTGCATCACTTTACCATCCTACTGTACAAAACTTCTGTAAAGAAAACATAGAAACAGCTTTGCCTTATCCAGTGGACACCTTGGTTTGCCCCAAGATTGTTCTGCTTAGCTGATGGTCTCATTTGGACTGTGTCAATAATTACTGTTACTCACCAAACCAAATTGATTTACAAGGAGAAGTAGTGCTCTCCTGATATCAGTATCTTAGGAATTAGGGTATAAAGAAGACTCTCTGAATTAATACAGCGTTGTGTATTGTTCCTTCAAACCTGAATTACTCTGATTCCATAATCTCTCCGTTGTACTGGTGAGGGCCTACACTCAACTTGGCTCAAATTAAAATTAGGAAATTCAAATGCAAAAAATTTAATTTCAATTCAAATAAAACTCAAGCTCCTTTTCAGTGAGTTTCCTACTTTGCTAACGCCACTGAAGTTAGTACAGCCAGGCAGTCCTTGTGACACTGTATCTCCAGGAAACACCAGAGATAAGTTTAAACAAACCATCTAGAAAAGATGAGGAAAGGAGTAAACTATTCTAGTTTAATTTCTCTCTGCATTTCTCTCCTGCAGGTTTGTTTTGGAGCAGTACAATGCACTGTCCTGGCTTACATGTAACCCTGCCACTCAGGATCGCAGCTCCTGCCTTCCTGTCCACTTTGTGGTGCTCACTCAATTGTACAATGCCATCATGAATATACTTTAATAGATAGAAAAGCACTTGTTCTTCTGGCTTATTCTCCCCTCAACCTGAGAAACGTGCCACAGTCTGCAAAGATCACAATTTTGCTTCTCTTCAGACCAGTCCTGTGCTGTGCTTCTGTTCCTCCAAAAGCACATGTGAGTTCTGCAGTGTTCAAAACTAAACTACCCATTAACATCTCTGGCAGCTTCAGTCCAAAATCTGGGAACATCCAAGAACAGTGAACACAGAGTAACCTCAAGCCAGTGTTAGTTTGGTGGCCCAGTAGCTACTGGTCAGTGTGATTATTTTTTTTAATATTTTATTTTTTTAAGGAAGACTACAGTATCTTTTTGCATTAGGAACTCTGATCAGCAACCAAGAGCAGTGTCAGCCCTGCAAGTAAAAAGAACTTATAGTGACCAGTTTGGATTGTCCGAAACTTACTTTGTTGTTTGATCATCATAAACTGGGACTTTGCAGGAGGAAAAACAAAAATACAAATGAAAAAAACCACACAGATGTAGTCTTGTATAAATATTGGAGTTTTCTGTCTACCTGGAGTTCCTGTCAGAGTGGATTGGGATGAATGCATGCATTTGTTACCTGTCCATGTAGATATGAATGGTCTGGAGATACTTTATTTATTTTTAGGTTTGGGGAGGGGAGGGATTAAATTATAAAGGACCAGGAACAGTAGAATATCTTAAAAATCCAGCTCCGTTCCACTGTAGGGTTATTTATCTACATACCTCTCACTCTTCTGACCTAGAAATCAAAAGTGAAGCTACTAACAATCGAAGTGCAAGCTGGGAAGGGAAATGTGTTCTGGTAAGGATGTACTGGTGTTCTAAGGAATTCCCCCCTGCATGTAGCCCAGTTCAAGCAAGGAATGGCCAGTGTTTAATGAAGGATAACACTACCTAATGGAAGAAGAGTAAGTGAGAGGTAGGGAGGAAAAATACTTTAAAGCCCAATATGTGGGCAGATGGAAAGTGGTAAATTAATCTATTGTAGAGGTATGATTGAAATATATTTCCAGTAAATTTAGTGATGCTAGAAAACTATTTACTGAAACCCAAGTCGCCCTTGAATTCTGGGCAGACTCGTCCATGTACATATCCAAAAATATGGTTTTTGTTTACACTAAATCAGTTACAAATCTGGTGTATTTTTTCTGACTATAGGAATATTATTTCAAAGAAATAATTTTTAAAAATTATATCATTAAATTAGTACTTGAAGTTATACCACTGTGGTGGAAAAGTTACTTTGTTGAGTAAAATGATTGCCATTTTAAAGGTTAATGGCTAATTGAAGTATTTTTATGACTCCTTCATTCCAGGCTTCAAGGGGTTTATGTTTAAACTCCGTTTTCTAATGTTTGTTGTTGCACTGTGCAGCAGGCATGGACTGCCTTACGGGAGGGGTCGGGCACTTTGATCAGGCTGTGTGACCTACTTATCTATCTGTGGAGAAAAAAAAACCTACCAATTTTAAAGTTCTTCCAAAAGACTTTCATGTTCTGGTTAAAAAAAATGAAATTCTATGATTTTAAAAAGTATTTTTCTTGAGATAATGTAACATTTAAAACAAATTATATAAAATAAAAAAGAATAAAAAAAATTGCTTGTGTAATGAGAAGGTGAAGTCAGAGAAGAAACCTGTAAATGGATTATTTCATTCTCTGCACCTCCCATGTGGGTATCCTCTTTGCAATGTATAGGTTAAAAAAAAAAAATCTGATATCAAACCATTTGTATCTAATGTGTACAGTGTAAAATTGACTTTAAAAATATTGCAGTACTATTTTTTCTTAATCAGAAAAGAAAATTCTCAAGGCCTTTTGAAGAGCATAAAAAGATGAAGATTGTAAACTTGTATAAAAAAAAATTTAACTTGGGGAGGAAAAAATGTAAAGTAGACATTTGTAATCTTTTACCATTTGGGGGTTATTTGTTCCCAGGATTCATCTGAACTTTGGATTATTATTTTGTTTGTTCTTTTTAAATGGGCCATTTTTATCCAGGGGTGTTTCTTCCCCAGAAACCTGGTTCTAAGCAAAAATGAAAAATAAAAAAAGGGCAGCAAGGAGTAGTTTTCATCTGGTGTCTTTTATTTAATTTTTTTAAGTTAAGAGAAGCTGGTGACATATTTATACGTTTTTGTGCAAAATAAATGAATGGCAATAGATTTTAAAGAAAAATCTTATGTACTTCTGTGTGAAAAGTTCTGTATAATATTTCCCTTAAATATGCATTATTTTACTTGTGAGTTTTTTACTGAATTAATCTGAAATGTACAAGCCCTGGCTTTCCTACAGAGTGAAGAAAGTTATTTTATTTTTTTTTTATTTCTAACTTTGGAAATTCATGCCTAAATCAGAATTATTATTACAGTTGTTTGAGCTAAAGGGAGAGGGAGGGGGTGGGGAATGTCCAGCATGCTTGTATGTATATTTCAGAACCTTTTTTAAATGTAAAAGCTGTACATTTCTGGGGAGTTCTGAATTTCTTTTCTGTTTTGTTTTGGTTTTGTTTTCGGTTTTTTTTTTCTCTCTGAGCATTTTGCAGTGAGCTTCTTTTATATATAGCCGACAATTTGAAAGAAAACAAAAAAAAAATGTGAAGTTCATTTTAAATCTACAGTATATCGCTGGTACAATACACTAAAAAAAAAGACTTTGATAAAAAGAAACAATAATAATAAAGACCTCCATTTTAAATGTCATTCATATATACCTTGTGGATGAGAGCTATATACTTTTACACACTTTTTTAGATGAATAAATTATTGAATTACTGAAACTGTTTGTGGTGTTTTATGAGTATTGTCTTCTGCTCTTAAGTTTTAGTATTCCTAGTGAAGGAGGGCTTGCAATACAAGGTAGAAATTCCATGTGATATGGGTGGAACTAAAATTAATTTCAAAGCTCTTTATACTTATTTATTTGAGAGACATGCCCTGTTGCCTGCCCTGGATGAACCTAGTGCCCACCTGCCTTTTTGATTTGCTGCGTGGTGTTCCTGGAAAGGTGCTGAGGTTTACACTGCACCAGAACCTTTCTTGAAAACTGAAATAATAAGCAAACCAGAACAGACTTGTAATTTAAAATCATGTTTGTTCTGGGAGGAATTTTAGTGCCACTAATATACATGCTGAGAAGAACAGATTTAAAATTCTGACAAGTGGTGTGGGTGGAGACAACCTGGGATAATCTGGTGGCATGAGAGTATTTAGTTGCTTTACCTTAGGAACTCTGAGCACTGGTGCTTCATCCATGATAGAATTCCTTTAACAGGAGATTTTGGTGGCGTCTCAGTCGTGTGGCATCCCACCCACAGCAGGATCACTGAAGTGCAGTCAGCCCCAGAGTAAAGAGGAACATGAACCCAGATCTGCTGCTTCAGCTTGCTCACAGCAGCCTAGAGAATCTCCATGGACAAGCTTGGGAATCAACTGTACAATAAAGCCTTTTTTTAATTATCAAGCTTGTATCTTGTTGGTAAATTGTCAGTTCTCCTGTACAAGTTTTACCAGAGTAGTGACATTCCAGCCTTCCAAGTGCTGGAAGGAGATGGAAATACTGCAGAGGAGTATTATTTAAATGGAAGTTACTTGTGGCTAATTCATTGGCTTTAAAGACAAAAGCTACCAATGGCATATTCTGTTCCAGGAGAACTCTTAAGAATTGAATGAAAACACTAAAATCTCAGTTGATTTGTAACCATAATGTAACATTTATGAGTATTATGGGCACAGTACTGTGGTGATGGTTTCTTTGATACCAATGAAAAAACAGTTTTAAAGTTTAGGCTGACATTAAACTACCTTTTGGTTTCCAGCTGCCATACCTGCTTTTGGCAAAACATCATGGCCACCTGACAAGGGTTTTAGCACATGTAGAAAGCATCAGAAGTCATGGAAGTAAACATGAGATTTATGGGCAGTCTCACCATTTAATAGTGGAAAAAGAAACAGCCTTGAGATTCCCCAACAGGAAGTCTTTAGTCTTGAACAACAAAGTGGTATTTATAAAATGATGCTGCTTCCACTTCCCTATTTTGAAACTGAACCTTAACACTCCAACAAATGTTTATGTGGGCAGACCCTGTTTTATGCATAACTGACGCTTTCTCTCCCAGGTGCCAAAGCAGGTCCTGTAGGGCTTTCCAGGGAGACAGAAATCACTCAGTGCTGTTTTAATGAAACCTGAAATAGTCTTCAAATGCCTCAAACAAGATGACCCCAACTTCTGCGAGAGGCCAATTCTGAGTACAGGCTGCCCTCAGCTGCCAGGGGCAGAGAACCACCTTACCCAGGAGCCACCTGTCAGGGCAGTGGTCAGGTACCAGTTCAGTACACATCAGTTCTCACTCTGGTTCTAGACTGGGACTTGGCAGCAACAGCCAACAGTCTAACCATGCTATAAGCATATATAATACAGTTGATATAAGCTATAAACATGTAATATATGCTCACTTATCTGCTTAGTGAAAAAAATAAAAATGCTTTTTTTGCCTTTGAGAATTGTCTATTAAAGTCTTTCTGAATTACCATACTTCACCTCAAGGCCCCATCTAGAAAGCCAGTGTGGATGCTGTAATTGCTACACCTTGGTACAAAGTGTTTCTACAAGAGTTGTCCTGCAGCAAGAATGAAAGGTGGCACCTGCTTGAATTCACTGGCTACTTCTGCTTGCTCCACAGGGTGATCCCATAAGGCTCAGAGACTGGTTTAAGTACTGGCATGACAGCTCTCGGCTCAGAGGACACTACAGCACCTCTGCTGTTAACACCTCCTCCACTCCCAGAGCCATGTTTCAGTTTTCAGTTCTTAATCAACTCTCTGGTGTCCAGCTTCCACCTTTACATCCTGGGAAAGTGGTTTCTGTCCTATTCCCTTTTCAGAAGTATCTGCATCTACAAGATATTTGTCATCAACGTGTCAACATCATCTAACCTCACAGGTGGTGATACTCCAGCTGGTTCATTTTAAAAGACACAGACCTGCCAGCAGAAAATTGATTCAGCCCACGTGGCAACTGTAGCAGGCCTAGGTCCTTCAGAAATTGAATTTATTTTCCTTACACAGTAAATAAGACATGTTTAGAACAGTCCTACCAGCCTGACACTCTCTTTATTTTTAGTTAAATATTATGTCATTGATAAAATGTCAAACTGGTGTAAATCTAGGAATAACTTACCTTCTGAAATGCATTGCTGCTACCTCAAGTTTTTTTGCAAACTTCCTGCCCCTAGATACCAGTATCCAGAATTCTAGTTAAAAAATGAACAGACACACGTTTCCCCTTCCCCTCCGCCCCCCCAAAAAAAGCTCACAGGTTCCTGCAATCCTGTGAAACATAATCCCACAGAGAAAAAAAAAACAACACAAAAACAAATACCAACGTCGTGGGTTTTTTTACCCTTGCAGTCGGATGAATACTTTAGGAAGTCTTTTTTAAGCCATCCAGTTTTTCATTTACCTGTGATGAACTGCAATCAGTCACAGCTATGACATGTCACATTAATCCCATCTATCACATTCCCTGTGCCGAGGTTGCCACTAAATCGCGGTCATGTCCCTCGACGTCCAGCAGGGGTCACGTTCTGATGGCAAATGAAACAA